AACAGAACGGCGATGATATTTGCCGCGAAGTAAAAGTTATACGCGATGCTGTCGACATCGCTCAAGCTCTTCACCCTCCCGCGATATGCTATCACCCACAGCCAGAAAAGGAAAGCCGCTGCGATTCCTCCCCATAGGATGAACATGTAGATGGAATTCGCGGCACGCAGGAAGAAATTGATCCGTTTTGGAGAATCCGGATTGGAGATCCTGGCGTGGCTGGCGAGGCTGGAAAGGCCGAAGAGGATTCCCAGCCGACGAAAGTGACGCATGGAGTGGAGAAGGCGATGGTAGGGCTCGTGGTCTTCCACGAAGGCCGTTCGGCCAACCATTTTTTGCGAAACTTGGGCCACTTTGCAAAAACAAACTCGGCGAATGCCTCCGGAAGCGATACTGAACGGACACGGGCAATCCTCATCCCCAATGAGTGTTTCGTCTCGGCCGCGACGACGAACAGCGTAGTTTCGATCACGGCGTTCTGATGAAATGGAATCATTTAATATTTCATGCGATGTCATTCACGCGTGAAATTGGGTGGCTGTCACCGAATGTTCACGGGCGTGTCGATCGCCTCCGTATGGAGTGAAATTCTCTCATTTCCTCATTGCACCTTTCTTGTTAAAACTAGTACTGAAGGTACCAAGTTTTTATATATTTTTTTAATTATTATTTTAGACATTTTCATTTCAGTTCATTCCGCTATATCTCCAACCCACAGAGCGCTCCATTTTTACCATAAAAATTTTTCTTTTCATATTATAACTGTCCGTTTTTTGACTCACTAGTGAAGAATGGAAATGAAAAAATTCAATCGACTTCTATATCGACTTCTAAATCGACTGTGCAATCCGGCATTCAGTCGAATTTTTAATCATCTATTTAACCGTCCTTAGACCCTTTAGGATTTTTTCCTGAAATGGACTCCCGTGAATGAATTCGCGTTGGCAGCAGCCGTGCGATCGCCGATGGCCTCGTCGATGAGGCCTTCGGGGATGGAGATCGCTCTTGGCCCCCTCAATGTGGCCTTCGCGGATCAAGGTCAGAGAAAAGTTTCCATCCGGCTTCTCGAGAAAAGGTTCCCGGCAGAATGGAATTTATATTAGTTATTATTAATATTACGAATTAATACAATGAAAACTCGTTAACTCGAATCCTGATAAGTCGAAATTCCGCTTATCTCGAAGTTCAAAGCTTGGTCCCGGCGGAACCCCGTAGGACACCATGTTAAATGCTCCGTTTAACTCGAATTCGCTTATCTCGAATTTCCGGATATCTCGAATGAAATTTTCACTCCCGATAACGAATTTCTCACGGTTAACTCGAATTCAGGGTGAGAAGGGGGGAAAAATTTTTCTCTTGGGACTTTTTAAAAAATACTTTTGAATAGGAGGAATGACAAGAAACACGTTCGGGAGGATGTTCTTTTGTTTTTTTTTCTGCTTCTCCCTCCTCCCACACAGACGCCTGTGGCGAGGATTAAAACCGAGAAGCTTCGGCTATAAAAAAGCAGCCTTAAAAACTCTGTCTGTCTATCGCTCTCACTCCGAGCCATTCTAGTCATATTCTACTTCCTTTACGCCATTTGTGTGGAGTGAGCCCACTCGAGAGGAAATTGAAGGCTCTGACGCTCGAAGAGAATGTACACTTTATTCGGACTGGCGAAGAAGGCCATTTGAAGAAGAAAGGCATCGCAGAGAATTTCGGGATTCCTCCCTCTACCATTATGCGCAGAAAATATAAGGTTTTGAGTGCACATGAGAAGCGCCTATTTACAGCAAGTTGCAGGAAAATGAAGACAGCCAAGCATGGGAACGTGGAGTTCACACAGTGCCAATCGACTTGTTCGAGGCAGTAGGGAAATTGGAGGACTTTCACTTCTCTATTGCAAGTTCTTTTACAAAGCAAATGAAGATCATTGATTACATGTCAGAAATGGATAAAAACCGAAAGAGCCCCAGATGAAAGGCGTTGCAATAAATTAATTTTACATATGGAGTTTAAAAGTTTCACTCGAGATGAATAAAAGCTAATTATAATGGGAATGTCGTGAAATCGGATTTTTTATGGCGGAATAATCGCCCTCTGGTTATGCTCCTTAACGTGAGTTTTTTTTTTTTTTTTGGGGGGGGGGGGGGCGATTCCTGATAACTCGAACTTCGGATAACCCGAAACGATTTGCCCGGTCCCTAAAAGTTCGAGTTAACGAGTTTTCACTGTAGTTTCACAGATATTGATCCGCTCGATTAGCGCCCGAGAAAAGTCTATCGCACTGTGAAGTCGAGACAGATCTTTTGACTTTCGTTACGGTAATGGACCTCGATGATATACAAGACTCCTCATGGATTTCTGTCCAGCTGTCATCGAGGAGAAACGTCGGCTTCGGGGCTGTTGGCCTCGGGACCTTGTGATCTGACACTCGTGTTCGCAGTCACGTCGCGATCGACCCTGTCGTTCGTCTCTGGAGGTCGTCGGCGTCACGACTCGCTTCGACGAGAGGAAAGTGACTTGCCCTCATCCTATCGTGCGAATGATGCCGACCAGAGTCGTCCTCAAATCTATGGCCGGCAATTCTCATTTTAAAATTTCCTCAGCAGAATTCGGAATTTAAAAAAGTTGTCAGATTTCCAAGTCGGGAGGAGACAAATTTCGACAGGGACTTTCATTTTCGCGCTGATTCCAGTGATCACTAGAGTAATGAGTGTCCTGGAATGTAGATGGCTTTGAGGAAGGCGGCACCGAGGAAGGCGGCCTCGAGGGAGGCGGGAACCCATCGTTTCGCTCGTACGTGAGAAGCGTTGTCATCGCGGCTTTTGCAACTCACTCTGGAAAAAAAATTCCCAAGTGCTATAGAGGTTCACAAGGTCAGGCATGAAAATATTTTTTTTCGGGATTCTTCTCCCCTTGGCCGATCCAGGAAGCAAGGGGAACAAATGACGTGGCCTTCGGGAAGTGTTCGCTTCCGACCTAGGCTGTCACCTAGTTGTTATAGGTGACCCCGATTTTCATTGTCGTTTAAGGAACGACAATGAAAATCGGGAGACTCAAGGTGTCGGACTCGTTTCATTCGAACAAAAATTCCTCGTTCTTCTACAAAGGGGAACATGTAAAGAATGCAGAGGCTTTCTAGTATTTTTTTAAAAACCTGTTTGGATCGTTGTTGGAGAGAAATTTCTCATTCAATAATGATTTGGGCTACGAAGATATTGACGGATTTGTGCAGAACCGATGGAATCGCCGGCCGTAAGCACGTTCGGCACAAATTCAGACGCCCTTCTGAATATGCCAAATCCTGTGGTTCGTGCTACCAAATAATCCTCAAATAATAATAAATAACGATGATCCTCAACGTTTTCTGGGTGAAATGATTAGTTCAGCTATTTCCATTGGGGTCCATGGGACGGGGGGCTTTCGAATTTTCCTTTCGCACTGGTCCTAGGAGAAAACGTGAATATTTTCTTCGCTTTGCCTGCGCGTAACCTTAGAAAGGAACTCATGATGTGAGTTTAATTCGAGTCAATAAAGGTTTAGCCGATTGAGTTTTTCAATTTTGAAACCAGATGGAATCCTATTTTTATACTCCGACGGTCGATTTATTCCATCATGATAGAAAAACAAGAAAAGGTTCACCTATTTTTCCTACGAAACTCATTTAAATCAATAAGGTTTGAGTCGATGAGTTGTTCCCCATCATATTGTGAGCTGAATGTATTTTTTTCTCCACGGCATAAGACTTTTCTCGGCCCCCCCCCCCCCCCCCATTTAGGTGTACTGTATGAACAGAAAAGTGCGAAAAATGAAAGGACAATTGGGTTGTACTCCGTATTTGATAACGGGCGCAAGCAGAGGAGGCCCTCGTGAGAATGATGGAGGGCAGCACTGACCAGGACGACGCGCCCCATTCCTTCGCTCCATCCGATTTGAACAGGAGAGGACTGTGCAAGAGCGAAAACGATAATAGGTGCAGGATGGTGTTTCTACTCGGAGCCCATCCTGTTCTGGGAAAAAAAGTTCTGAAGCGTCTTTGCGAAACAATCATACTTTTCGTCTCTGCTTAAAAAAAGTACAATTTTACTCTTCTGCTGCGGTCTTGGACGTTCCTTACCCATCATGTCCTAACATACATTCAACAGTTTCTCTATGTCCTATTGAAGCTCCTAGCCCCAGGTTATGCAACTGTTTTCACTGTGAGTCAATATGTAGCAAATGAAATACCATAATTTCGTGGATTCCCCTGTACATGCAAGTAAAAACGATTATAGGATATGAGAAATTGCATGGGCTGCTAATAAAAAAGCCCAATTAATTGTTGAGCTGTTTTATCAATTAGTGAATCAATTAATCTAGTCGATTGTTGGAACTAGTCAATCCATTATTCCCTTCCCACTCTGGCTAATGACAGGATATGAGCGAAATGCAATTTGGGACTCTCCCAGAATGACTGCAACATGACAATGCTGTCATGTCATTCATGATGCTTCAGTGCTTGTGAGAATGAGAAAAGGGCTTTTCCGAGCTTTGTATGCTTGATTAATCATTATTTGATTTGATAAAGCTTTTTCTTTATAGTAATTAAAACTGCAATGAATTCATCAACCAATCTGATCAAGTTGGCAACTCCACAGATACCTTATACAATTTTAATTTGTAAGTAGGAACTATTGAAAGAATCTTCATGGACAGTAAGAGTGAGTGGCACAAGTGAACAATTATGACACCTTAGGTGCTGTAAATAAAGAGTGCAAAATAATTTTATATCAGGAATAAGAGTTGCAAGAGAACCAATATGAATGACAGCACTCCCTGGATGTCAGAGATTTCAAATTAATCTAGAAGGTTCTTCTAGTTAGAGCAGGAAGACAAGCTGAGGGAGATGCTAAGGATGCTAAGGCTCAGGCTTCTTCACCCACCTGTCTCTGATATTTGGAAATGTACTACCAAAGGTCACAAAAGTTGTGTTCAGTGAAGAAGTCAGGTACAAAATAAGCAACATATGGGAAACATCATAAAAATGTGCATTGTATTGCTCAAAGATCCAATTTTCAAGCATATTCTCTTCTCTCAACACACATGCAGAGACTCACAAAGTCCTGTCACTTGTCGCGATGCTTCTGCCTCACATGTTTCTTGAGATTGGACCGATAGAATGTCCGATAGGTGCAATGAGGACAGGGAAGTCCTTGCCAGCCACTGTGCTGTTCCAGGTGAATCTTCAAGTACTCCACAGCAGCAAACTTCACTCCACAAACTTCACACATGAACTGTTTCAGGTCTCGACCATGCTGCCCCATGTGAGTGAGAAGCTTCGCCTGGCTGGGGAAGGCCTTGGAACACACTCGACAAACATGTGTCTTGGAATGGACCTTCCTGTGGGCACGGAGATCCCGACACAACTTCCCACATTCTCCACACTCTACCTTCCCCTCTGCATGAGTTTCTGTGTGGCGGTTGAGGTCATTGACTCTCTTGAATGACTGGCTGCATGTTTTGCACTCATATGGCCGTTCATCTGTGTGGCTCCGCATATGCACCTATTGAAATTCCAAAATGCTCCCAAATAAGTACTTTTATTGCAGATTATGAATCATCGCTATTGGAGGGTAATGCAATCCACTGTCTTCACCCATGGCATCGGAACCACTAATGTGCAAGAGGCAGAGTGCGTTTAATCAGTTGCTTTGACCATTCAACTAGCCCATAAGTTTCTTTTGCCACTAAAGACTATAATTCAGATTGAAGTTAGACCTCACATGAACCATAAAATTAAGAAAATCAACAAATAATAGCTCAAACTCATTAACTTTTAGTTCAACACAATGAAGTCCAAAGTCACAACTTTAAGCCCTGCAATAATTGCTTTTTTGTCATTTGTACTTGTAATACCCAGGCAAAACTCTGAGCAGAAATTTTAGATTTTGTGTGCATAAGTTATTTCTACACTAATAGGATTTACTGCAATAAAATCCAATGTCATGGTCAATGAGTGGCTATACAGAAGGAAAATTTTTAATTGTATACCAACCTTCAAGGCATGAGGGGAACGACAGGGGAGCTGGCACAAGGGACACACTCTCTTTCTGCGATGATCAGCCTGCTCCTTTCGCGAATGGAACGTCTGGGAGCAGCAGCCAGCATCACATTCGTATGGCTGTATCTGCAGATGCACCTTGTTGACATGATGCTCCAGCCCATCCCGGGTCCGAGACCTGCTGCCACATCGATCGCATACAAATGCAGAATCTGAGTGGGTTCGCAGGTGGGACAGGATGTTCTTGCGTAGGGTGCTTTTTCGTCCCGAACAGATGAGCTTGAGGCATTCGGGTCGGGGACATTGGATCTGAAAGTTACCACCATGACACAAGGCCTTCCCTACTGCCTTCAGCACATCCAAGTCCTCCTACAAGAAGAGGAAATTTCACTCTTGTCCTCATTGGAAAGCTTCATTTTAATATGCAAAGAAGGAAATTCTGCCTTTTTTTATATATAAGGAGCCTTTGGATGGATCTGTGAAAGATACAACTGTAAGCAAAAATGAATATTTTACAATTGCAGATCATAGTGTGTAATATATATCATTTTCATACCCATTTCTTTTTAGACTATCTGCCACATCTCAATAATAACTTCTTAAGCTCTGATGAATGTTCAAACTCTTATGTAATTATTTTAATGGCATTTCATCTGGCACGTTAAACAATGGAACTTGAAAATCAGGAAGAGATGCAAACATGAAGGCATATCATTGGCATTCAATCAAAAATAACCAAAACTAAGCTCAACCTGTTGAAACAATTTGAACAGTGAGAACTGCTAAATTTATATTTCCATCAGCAATAATAAAAAATTTTCATTCACAGACTGTTGACCTGAAAAATTAAATCTGTGGTGTTGATAGAATAAGAAACTTCAAATATAACATCTTTCCATTGCACTTGGGTTTGGTCAGGCATAGTTCCACATGCGAATGTAGCTAGTTTAATGCATTCAATATCCTCACATTTTCCTCAGTGCTTGACTGAAGTGGCATTTCATTTTGTGCCTCTTGGTCAGCCACTGATTGTGGAGGCTGTTGAGGCACTATGGGGTCAACAAGCATGCCAGCTTTTATTTTCTCCCACAGTTGCTTTTTCAGGTAGCAGAGTAGGAGGAAAGTCTCATGGATCTTCTGCAGGAGTACCACACATTCTGCACAGGATCTGCTCTCAATTGCTGTGACAGAGTCATCAAGTGATCCATGCTGATGGAGTATGTCCTTCACAGTGACACTCACACATTGAGACTGATTAGGGGTGCTGCAGGTGACATTTGAGACCAGAGGAGCACTGAGTTCCTTAGTTTGGCAAATGCTGCACAGCATGCTGATTCAAATTAAAAGCCAACTAAGTTGGTGGACGGCATTATCATGATTTCTGAGATGTAGAAAAATTATGGAATGCAAGCCTACATTATGGACACCTTCAAATAAAAAGACATTTGATTACAGGTTGCCAATGAATCACTAAACCATGCATAATTAAGTGCATACAGGATCATCCAGGAGACTTTCAAGGTTCCCAGAAGTCTCTGGCAAGATAAACAAATTTGTAATCAGCTTGCTTGGGATTCACAACTTCTTAAGTCCAGCCATTTTTCCAAATGAAAACAACATATTTATTTTTACAAGGGCCACAAATACAAGGGATCTCAGAGCTTGATGCCTGGATGACTGTGTTTGGCATTACGAGCTTCCCGTTCCTGCTTCTCCTTCTCCAGCTTGAATGCAGTGGTGTTTGCCCTCTTCTCCATCCGCCTCTCCCGTCTCAGTTCCCGGACTTCCCGCTTCCGCTCCCTGCGCTGCTCTGGTGTCTCCCCCTCTGGACGCACTGAGATCCGACTCAGTCGACTCAGAAGTGACTCTGTATCTTCAGCTTGCTCCACCATGTTTGTCTCATCATCTAGAGCCTGCAAATTGCGCCTGGTGAGTCCAGACTGATTTGGGAGGCCTTCAATTGCAACACCACTTCGGGACAACTTGATCTTGTGAAATTGGGGTGGAAGGTCAACAACTTTAGGATGATTGTATAAATTGGAATATGTACTCAGAATAGACTGACAATCCCATTTCTCCCTCTCTTCATCTTCAACCTCAATTGTCACCATTTCATCTTCAGATGTTGACTCCTCTTCCAAGTTGATTTTGTGACCAAGGCTAGGTTTCTCTAAAGCCCGTTCCTTCTGGAATTCATCTGCTAGACGCATCATAAGATCGGAGTTTGGATCTATATAACCTTCAATGTCCTCAGTGTCTAGAGGACCTATTTCTGTCTCATCATACTGCTCATACAATGTCTCAAAGCGCTCATCCAAGAGTGTGAGCTGTTCATTTCGTCGCATGACAGAGCTGGTAAGGGAATAGTTGGTGAATCTGGATCGTGTCTCCTCATCAGCAAAAGACTGCTCATTAGTGAGCTCACTGTCAGCATCAGACTCATTTGCATCCCCACATGAGGATTCCTTTGATTTGTTGTCTTCAACTTCTTTAGCATTTGCTTGAAGAATAAAATCATCTTCAAGCTCATTCTCAGGATCATCAAAATCAAAGTCATCATCCAATGCAGCTACAACATCTGGATCCCAGTCAATCTGTGGTCCTCTCAAGGGTGCTGCCTTGTTAAGCAGCCCAACTTCTTCTTCCACTTCAGAGGCAAACACTGATGAAGGAAGAGTGAATTTCACCTCAGGCTCTTCAGATGGAACCTGCAAAAAAAAATCCCAGATACAATGAGGATCAAAAGATTCATCATAAGTAAAATGATCTGGACTGGCCTTATGAATTGGCTTCATGGGCAAGTACTCCAGGGAGTAAATGTCATGCTAGATGCTCATCAGTTTCAATTCAAAATTATTTGTATTTGTAGTAGGGGTATACTATGATTTGGCTGGGAGAAAACCATACTAAGTGCTATTCTGACCATGCCATGAGCTCAAGTGACCTTGTGGCATAGTGCATTAATTACATGTAACCTGTTGTCAATGAACATGATTATAAATAAGCGAAATAATTGTAAAATCCTACCCCTTGGTTAGGTCATTATAAAGTAACCCAACCAAGGCACTTGCTGCAGATGCACATTTTGGGAAGATTAGAGATGTCAGAAGTATAGATCAACTTCACCTTAGAAACATCCTCTTTCTCAAGGTTATTGGGCTCAGTGATGGGTTCCCACTCAACATTTGGCTCAGATACAACCTTCAGATGCTGAAGATAGTTGTAATCATCATCAAAGAACACTCCATATTTGCGTTGCTCCTCTCTCCGCTTCTCCACATTTCCTTTTTCATCATCTTTTCTTACACTTCCCCAAGCCTTGTGGGAGTTCTTCCCTGCCACTTCTAGCAGCACATGTTCAGGTGCTGTTTCATCAGCCACCAGGGGATCCTGCTGGCTTCTGTGCACCAATCGGAATGTCACTGCATTCTTCCTGTCAATGAATTTCTTCTTTCGACCCATTCATGAACTCGATTGTGCTTATTCACAATTCACGTTTTTGGGATTCAATAAGTTCCTGGCACCAACAAGATGAAAGCATGGCATACAAGATAAGAAATACAAAATATCATTCAGAGCACTGACCTAAAATTAAGCATGCCTAGGCCTACAGTAAAAAAAAAAATTGAATATAGTTCTACCTATGAATTTGAAGATTAGAAAAAACTCATGAGTCCAAGTTATTAAGCATAGTTTCAAAATAGTTCCCAGGTCACATCAACTAGTACTGATTAGAATTAGCACTACTGGGGTGAGAGGACTGCATGAAATGGGCCTGCACACTGAAAGTAAGCCATGATGAAGAGAAACAGCATTAAGCATGGATAAAAAGCCTGAGGAGTTAATATTTAACTTTGCAGATGAAGCAAATTCAAGGTTTGACAAGAGTGGAAATGACCCATGAGTAACTAAGCAAAAGTAATACAGCAATTGTAGGCCTAGGGAAAAGGTGATAATCAGATTTCCATGTGATGCGGTGCTTATATGGAAGGAAAAGAAAATCATGCGGATAGCAAAGGAGTAGACTACCGTGCAGTCTAGGCCCAGTCCAGTTCCCTGCAGCAGAAGATTCAACTTATAAACCTTACGTTAAATAGCATGCGGTACTTCAAAAATTTATTAAATGCATGCTAACGCGCAAGGTCTGGTTCACGGAAAGAAGATCCAGAACTGCACGGCCAGCTTCATTTTCTCACGGAGAGGGTCTATTACCTAGTGAAGTATCGATGGGAATGTCAGCTTGAAAATTGCTTGACAGATGGTTGGCCGGCTCTACAGTAACTCGCCACCGAATTCGCCCGACCCACGATTTTGCTCAATACTTGTTTCTGGCGAGGACTTACCACACTTCCTTCCGTGCACCATAGAAACAGCACAAACGACGCCCCAAAGAACAGCATGCATTTAAAGGTGGCACTAATTCGCTCGAACGCTAGAGCAGCCCGACACGTGGTCAGGAGGTGGCCATACTGCAACGCGGGACATCTAGTGAAAATAATTGGAGATTGCCTCACAGGCGTCCATGCAGAGAGCGACCCTCGTTCAGTCGATCTCTGCGCGTGGACCACCACAGCCGTCTCAGCGGGAAGAGTGGGGCAGTCTGTCGCTTCGGGGCTTGAGGGAGGAAACGGAAGAGGTGGCTAAGAACGTGGAGCAGGTCCTGACTTATGGTATTCATTCTTGAATGGAAACCGAATGGAACTGTCTTCGCTCGTATTGCCGCGACACAGTGGGCGCATGCAGTTGTGACCCGAGTCATGACTCGAGGGTCTCAGTTCAACGCTTGCATTGAGGCTTCAAAATAAATTTTACTCTATGGTGACACCTCTTGTCAATGTCATCAATCCTGATATACTCAGGATTGATGATAGTTTTTCAAAAGCACCGCACCTGCCGAGAATCTAGAACCTCGGGTCACAACTGAATGCTCCCAGTGGCGTGCCCGAGGGGGAGGTTTTTGGGGGTCATAACCAAAGACCTTATACTAAAAAGACTGGGCACTCTGGCGGCGCCTTTGATGTCGGGGAAACCTCCTGCCCTGGTGTTTGGCCCCGTTCTGTACCCATTGAATCTGATGGTTCTGGGGACAAGTACCGAATCAGCATTGACATGGAAGGATATAAGCCTGAGAACATCAAGGTTGGTGACATTATCTATGCTTCCCTCCTGACAAATCCTGATGCCAGTCCCCTCCTTGATAGCCACAAGAAGAAATTCATAGTTTGGATGAAAGTTGAAAGCTTTAGGCATATTCCAAGTAGAATTAACTAGCAATTCAGCAATCCATCCAAAGGGCTGCCTCCTTTGAGTCAGGTTTGTTGGTGGTACACTATATGTAGAAAAGTTACTTGTTTACCCATGGGGACCAGAACCTGAAGAAATGCTCATGTGAAAACCTGTTGGAAGTGTCTCATTTGGTTTGTAAGGTTTATCTCAACTTGACAGGAATAAGGGTCTNTACTGGACCGAGAGGTACTTGAGTCATGTAAGTCCTCAATGTGAATTCTCATTCGGTAGAGGAAATAAAACTCTGAGGGTCCTTTACGTGGGATGATTGTACTCGGTAGGGCACTGCTAGTATCATACCTCTTGGGAACATTCTATGGAGTTATCGAGTCCATATTCAATTTCATCCGACAATCAAAGCTCATTCAAACCCTGGAATAGGGAGGAGGTACTATAATGCCCTAACGTTGAAAATTCAACGTTGACACAACATCGCACAGCATCAACTTTTCTACGTTGAGCTGTGTTTCATTTCAACATTGTGGCAACATCATGGCAACATGTTACGTTGAAAAGTCAACCTTTTCTCAACATTGAGGCAACATTGCCATCAACCTTTTTTCAACGTTGACACAACGTTGTGCCGAATGGGTTCTTTCTCCTTTTTACGGAATCGTCGGGCGACATCCCTCTGTGTTCGTTTCCTCAAGCAAGAATTGCTTCTCCCTCGTTCAAAACTAAAGTTTAGATTAACCTCGAGGCTTTATCCAAAAATTGTAGGTCCAGGATGCGCGAATGAGAAATGACACCCGTCGTCTGGCACCACTTCGCCAGCCGTAACTCGATACGATCTCGGGAGAAGTGCACATCATACACAATGAACCGTGCTCATATTTCCCTTTACAGAAGGAGGGGCAAGATAAACATCACAGAGGCTGGTTGCCAATACAATGTTCCTTTGTTAAGTCTCGTCACGTCCTCCACGTTTCTCACGTTCCTCACGTTCTCCACGTCACGTCTTCCGACTCGCCATGCTTTCTTCGCATCGCATCGCACGACGGTCCCAAACGCTTAGACAACGTTCGATGATGCTTCACCCTTTCTGCGAAATCTCCTGCGGTCAAAACGGAGAGAGAAAAGGGGATTTCTCATCTCAGAATTTCCTGAACGACATCAAGTTACGACATTAAACAAAGAAATGATCCTCGAAGGGGTGATGGCATCCTTAATGACATCGTCGACGATAATATCGATTTGTATGCTCCTGGACGATATCAATATCGCCACAGCTCCATATCTTTATTTAAAGAAAATATAGTAAAGATTCATCGCGCAGCCCTAGCGTTCCAATTTGGTCTGAGTCAAATTATGTTACTTGATTAACGGGTTCTGCCATTCAGGTAGATCTTGCGGTGGTCAAATAAATGCATCCATTTCTAACAAAGAAATTCGCAGGAGAGTATATTTTTACTTAGAGAAGAAGGAATTAGGAGATGAAATGCAGACAGAAATGAGGCTGCAGACTTCAGCCTTGCAGAAAAGTAAATCCTTTTTTATTCTTGAAAAGGATCCGACCTCGAAGCTGGAGATGACATAGGAACATTTTTGGTGACATTTTATCGAACTATTAGAAGAATGCCATGAATTCGATTCGTTTCAAGAATATTTAAAGGAAACGTTTCAAGACTGATCCCAAATGGCAAAAATTCGCCAAACGCTTTCACGCAAAGAGGGTCGAAAAAATGGCCGCGAAGTAACATAACGGAGTTCCATCAACTCCTAGCGATGCGCATAAATTTCAAGGCTATTGGACAAGGAAAACTTGCCGAATGCCAGGTTATGTTTCCTTTTCTTCTTCCGTTAATTGGAATGCTCTGCTCGCATCAAGCTGATGCACCAGGCTGATGCACGCTCCCCAATCAAACGATGAACAGTTTAAGGATGGTAAGCTTAAGAAATATGCTTAGCAGGAAGCGTATCATGCATCACAAGTAACCGATACCGATGGAACAATCAGAACGGAAGGCCATCGGTCTTTGCCATTACAGTTGGCATATTGATCCGTCCGACATTCCTGGAGTACCGAATCCATAGGTCTCAGTACTGGCTTGGTCAGTCCACCGATCTGCAGACCGAGTGCAGTCACATATGGATAGTTTCAGTCCGTGGTATGGGCTATTAGGTGCCAGGGCGATTTTGGGAAAACTCAAACTGTCCGATCTGTAACTAAACGATCTATAACATAAGTTTTTATTAGATAAATAAGCAACCGAGCTCTAACCAGGCCAAAATAGACCGCGATACAGTGAAGGTTAACGACAACAATGCAAGATCGGAAGAACAGGCAAAGGTCACGAAATGAAATCCAAAGAATTAAGCTTTCAGGCCACGCCATGACCGGGACAATCCCTAACCGATGCAGAGCTGGGGACTAGCCGTAAGAGACTAAGTAGTCCCTCACGGACCTTCCGATGGATACTTGTACAGCCAGCGACGTAGTGTTAGGGGGGCCGGGGGGGCACGTGGCCCCCCCTCCCCCCATCTTCCAGTAAAGAGGCAAGAAAAGAAGGAAACGACTCATGACCTATTCATAATAACATTGTCCCAGAGTTCCCGTGCTCCCTCCCATTCTACGCGTATGGGTACAGCACCGGCTTCATTCGGCCGGTCGAATTCAGGGGCTTTAGGGGCGTCGATGAGTGGAGGACTTCTCGAGGGGGATTCCCGTTCCCGTGATCAGGGGTGCCTTGGTGCACTTCGAACAGAAGATAACAAATGTAATGAAAGCATATCAGATAGGATAGTTAAGACGACGTCATCTCTAATGCGAGAAAAGGGGAGGGATTCGTCACAAGGGTTATAGTGTGTTCAACAACTGACTTCCCTAGGTTTAACCATTGCGATCCGAAGTTCCCGGATGCAAGTTGCGCTGGGTTCTTGTTCAGATCAATAGGCACTGCCTACTTAACGGTGTGCACCGTTCCTCAGCAGGCAATACATAAACATCTCCATTCGGGGTTGAATGGGGAGCATTCTCGAATACAGAATTGAGAGCGATACATGGAATCATCAGTGTTTACAGTACATCATCCGGGAGTACATGAAAATAATTAGGACTGTTAATTCGATTCGATTAATCGACTAGAGTATTAATCACAATTTTAAAAATTAGTTGAAATCAATTGAATTTTTATCGACCCCTAAATCTTCCCATGAATGCCTCTTTTTCTCCTCATAACTTGGTTGTGTAGTTAATAGTTTTGCAAAACAACCGAAAACGAATGCTTCATCAA